GTTGTTATTTTGGAAAAATTTCATTTGTCATATTTTACCTACGGCAGTACATAGAATTGAACATCCATGTTTACAAAATATGTTTGTTCGTGAACAAGTCAATACATGTTCGTTTATTGAATCCTCTGAAAATCCACCATATGTATGTCATATTGATGAGAATAAGTGGATTATACCGACTGCTGAAGATTTTTATTGTTTTATGCGGGATAGTGGTGAAAGCAACGATGGTAATATCGATAACACGAACAATGATGATAATATAATTATTAAAAAATTTGCTATAGTTAATTTACCGTACAAATACGACATGCTAGGAATTGATCTGCGCCTTGCTGTTGTCAAAATTCTTTAGGAACTAGTATTTGCCTTCTTATGGATTTGATATTCTTTATTGTTAGAGAGAAACAAAACATTTCATATTTTAATTTCGTCGAATTTCCTGATCGATTTTCTAGAAACTGGAACTTAATTTCAAATTACACAACAATACATAGTTGTGTTCAACGAAAAAAAGGATGAGTAATGATGTCTGAAGGAAATTTTATTTGAAATGACTCTCCGATATTCAGAGAAGGAGGAAATTTGTCCTCAAATTTAATCTAGTATCTCGTTATTGATGCTGAAAGAGACAAGAAGGATGTTAAAATATGAAATGTTTTGTTTTTCTTACACCGCAAGAATTTTTCTTCTAAGCACTAAAACGCTTTGAACCCTCACCAAAATGGCAGCGTTCAACTGCGTTAAAACGGTCATCTCTTAGTCACCGTGTTATTTTCTATGACCAACTCATATGTAAATACCATCTTTCTTTCCCTACGAGATATACGACAAATTTACTTTGAAAGTTTTCTAAATTTTCCCCTTACTATATATGTGTAAGAGACTAGTCTACCATAATGATGCCGATAAACAGTATCCAGTAGACAATAGCTAGGTGGATCTTCGGATCCATCAATCGAACAGAAACATGATTGAAAAAGAAGGGAAGAAATATAAACCAACTATAACGTGTTAAAATTTGCATTTTGATCCGAAGCATTATTTAACGAGTATAAACGCATCCTAGAAGCTAACTTGTTCAGTTTTTAACGAGGTTGGCCAGTTTACCATTAAAGTGGAGGCGTTATCACGCACCACAAGTTCTTATTCTCTAGAATCACCGAATATGAAACATTTAACGCGGTTCTAACGCGTTAAAGTTATAAAATTTTCGTGATTATCGAGTCTGAACGTCGTTTTCGTACTTTTTATAAATTTTCATAAAAACGCGTTTGAATGTATCAGAATTAGAATTAATTTACAGTCCCATATAAGTTCGCAAAGTAATGCATTCAACAGTATTTAGCTAGTATAGTGCATTGAAGTTTTCTTTTAAAAATTGAAAAATTAAGCTTTTATTTGTACTTTTGTTTTGAATTTGAAGAAAGAGGCAGATATTTATGGAAAGCTTGAATCTACACTTTCTATACAATCATTGTGCGATGGAATAAATCTTCTACATTTGATCGAATTTAATCGATTGTTTCAATGACATAGTTCAACTCTGACTCATCATGATATCAAAATTGTTACTCTTTTGTTTATTTCCCTTCATATTTTGGAAAATATTTTTATGATGGAGGAAACTTGTTCTTAAACATTTGTCATACATATACCTAAGTTTCTTCTTTTTTTTTGACGCTAAAGGTAGATAGAAAATGCAAATATTTGACGATCTATTACTACTGTCAATTTTAGCAGTGACATACTTTCCAACATGTGAATCACCGCTTAAACTATCGTCTACTCAGGAGACGGAGCACTTTATCTGGACTAAAAGTGTTTTGGACTAAACATTCTAGTGAAATCTTAATATGATGTATGGAAGAGCGAGGTTTATACAATGGGAAACACCTAATTTTTGAGCTTAAAAGATCGGTTTAAATCGAAAGTCGCTAGGCTATAAAAAGTAAACGCTGTATACACATGCAAACAGCTGTTATTTATTAACAGAAGAGAATTCAACGTTGTCTGCTGATGGTTTATCTGGCGTAATGCAGATTGGTGGCTTTCAGAATGTAGCAGAGATCAGTTCGGTTCTGTTTGATGCACAGAGGATTGAGTGCCAGGCTATACGGCCTCACTCACAGAATGCTAGATTGACTCTAGCAACGAACTGATTCGAGCACTAGTATCCGCGGATACATATTCTATGGAAGTCCAGGAGTGAAGGCTTGTTGCTTCACATACAAGAAACGTAACCTTATCGGTAAAACTCACAGTGAATGAATCAAAAGACATCAGCCTGTCGCGCTTTTATTTGAAAATCAAATTGCAATCATCTGTTGATCCTGAAATGAGAAGTACAGTGGGAAAGAACTCAGTTGATCTGCACACTGTAAAAAAAAATGCGACTTCTAGGAAGACACGGAAGTCGGTTTCCATTTAGTCGCACCATTGCACCTATTTGCAAGCCACATCATGCGACTACCTGTAGTAGTCACATCCATCCGTCTACTTCTAAGTTGCATGGAAGAAACTAAAGTCGGTTCCCATTTAGCCGTATTTTAGCGACTGTTTTGAAGTCGCTTTGATGTGCCTTCTGGAAAAGACACATTAAAACAAATTTTCGTTTCTAGAGTGCAAATGAAATTTTTCTTCACAGGAAGCTTCTCCAAAAATCCGATAGTGTAACATGTGACTGGCGAAAATGAAACGTATTTGGATAAGAGAACAGAAAGCTGATTTTGCTGTGTACTTCTTCTTAATTTACTCCTTGACTTTCTATTCATACGGATTTTTCCTTTTCAGATTGAGATTACGAGTAGACAAAAGCATTGTCTGCTCGACGAAGGCATTAACATTTGATTGCACTATGTTCTGGAAGAAAAGCCCGAGGATAACATAGTGGAATCAAACGTAGATAACACAACGGTGACTGGAATAATGTGGTACTAGTACGTACCGATGTCAGCAAGTGTCAGTGCAACATATCATGCCGTGCAATTGGTACAATGTAGGAAGTCGGATAAACACTACCCATCTGACTCGTATACGCCTGGGCTTTAGTTTTCTATTAGACCAATATAAACGTCACTTCTTGCGACACCAAACTGCAGTCATTGTAATAAGCCTGAAACATTTGAGCATTACTTTTTAAAATGCCTTCGTTTTGTCCAGGAAAGATCTATCTTGTTGAATAATATAAAATCGATTACCGCATTAGCACAAACTACTGAACTCATTCTAAAGGGGTCAATTAATCTCACCTCAGAACAAAACGTACTTATCGTAAATAATATCCATAAATGCATAGTTGACACCAAAAGATTCACTTAACATTCTTTACTTCTTGTGCTACTCTATTTTATTGTTATATGCAGAGACGGAAAGTTTTTTGTATATTATAATCCTCGTTAAATAAATTAAACTAACTAACATGTCGTACGTACTGACTTTTTTCTAGTACTGTTCCAAGACGATATGAACCTCGTATGCACACGACAAGAAACTGACATGATTCTGATAAGAGTGACACACGACATTTCGAAATAATCGTATCGGACTTTTATCAGTTATTTATCTGAAGTTTATATAATGCTTATGAGAGTCTTACGAAAACAAATTGGCCGTCTCGTGTGCTTTTCTTATATAAGACTTTAATAAGATTTTGATAAGAGGCTTATTTGTTTACACTAAGAACTTTAAGGGAATCTGATAAAACACTTGTCAGTATCGTTTATAAGACTTTATCTCTATCCTCTCAGGAGATATAAAGTAGCCCTTAGGACGATGATTTCACCGGATTGGTTTTCTTTTCTTGTTCATTTTGATTTCTTTAAATAAAAAGCTTAAATCAATTTACCTTTAGAGTAAATCATTTAATTCTTGCTAGCTTAAACATGATTATGATTTAAATCGCATAAAAAAAAATTACCTGTCTCGAGTGCCTTTCTTATATAAGACTTTAATAAGATTCTGATAAGAGTCTTATCTGTTTACAATAAGAACTTTAAGGAAATCTGACAAAACACTTGTCAGTATCGTTTATAGGAATTTACCTTTAGGATAAATCATTTAATTCTTGCTAGCATAAACAGGATTGCGATTTAAAATTTTTAAATCCCAATCTGTTTATGCTACCAGGAATTGAATGATTTATCTATTAAATTTTATTTTTTAACACGTTTCCGTGTTTGCAATAAGGCGTGTGTTTAAACACGTTAAACGGAGTAATTCTTGCACCAATTGATGCATCGAAACGCGTTCATTCTCAGCGGGTTTTAGCGCATAACTATTTGAAGCAAAGAAACGCGTTAGAGGACAACGCGTTTTGCATCAGTTGGTGCAAGAATTGCCCCGCTTAACACGTTAAAAATTAACGCACATTAACGCGTTTTTTTGGCCCAAAAATTTCACAGGGAAAATTCTCGTAAGATACCTTTAACATGTCTCAAATTACAACGTGATTAGACTCTAATTTCAAGATTTTTCACACCATCTTTTGAAAATACTATATTTCAGTAACTACATGAACTGCGAATTTTTCGGATATGCTATTTTGTAGAGGAAAGACGACTTTTCAGCTCGAATCATTTCCAGTTTTTCCTGGCCGCTTTACTGACACCCGAAAAACATTTTGTCGATGTTCTTCTAGTTGAAGCTAATGAAAATGTTTATAATTATTATGAACATATCAGTGATTCTTTGCTGATGTTTCTTCCAACAATCAATGTCCATTCATTTCGCTTCAAATGTGTGTACTGTTTCCCAAAAACAAACAATAAATTCCTCATCTTCACTTGAAAAGTCGTATTCTAACAAATGATTCAAGATCGAATTTTATTGAAAAAAAATTTTTACGGAACTTTTTAGACGTTTTGCGTCAAGACCAAGACCAAAATATTCTTGATGAGTTTGAAAAGCTCTATCGAATGATGTATAATTAAGCCAAAAATAAAATGATGTGAAAAATTTGAATTTGGTGCGCCTTATATCTGAATGTATTTTCGCCTATGTAATGCCCTCAACGCCTATGCAATGCCCTCAACGTAATCCTTGACGAATTTAGAAAAACTTATCTATTCAAAACTTTTTCTCCAATGATATATTCTTTCTCTTTTTAAACTTTAATTCTTATCTCTCTAGTCCAATGGCCACTAAAATTGTGTTAGCCCATCGCATCTGTACCCAAAGGTGCCGAGACAATGAGCATTAGATAGCTTGTCCAAGACTATCACGTGACTGCCGTTGCCAGGATTCGAACACCGTACACTGTTACATTTCACTTTTTGCTTCTCTGTCCTGATACAGAAAGACGTCGTTCAAACATACAAATCTGAATGAAAGAACAAGAGATAAGAAGAATTTGTT